CAGACCTGCAGTCAGACGCTTAACCAACTGAGCCACCCATATGCCCCTCTCAAGACTTTAAGAAAAATAGAAGGTGCTTAGTATTTATTGAATTAATGAAAACATGACCTAAGACTTTCACCATCACTTAGGTCTATTATTTTGCTACTTGAGGAGAGGAGGAAAAGCAGCCTTCTCCTATATCCTAGTCCCATTTTAATTATACATGTTGGAAAGCTTTTGTGACCCAGGACACAAAAGGACAGTATTGTATAATTCAACTTATGTGAGGAACCTAGCCTAGTCAAATTTATAGAGAAAAAAAGTAGAATGGTGGTGTCCAGGGTCTGCTCAGAGGGGAGAATGGGGAATTACTGTATAATGGGTACAGAGTTTGACCTGAGGAAGATGAGCAAGTTCTAGAGAAGATGGTGATGATGGTTGTATAACAGTGTGAAGGTGAAACTGTCTTAGAGCCCCATTTTATAATCATAACACCCACTATGAGCACATCCTAACCTTTTCTTGCTTCCCTTTTGTCTGTAGCACTGGTTGCAAATCCAACACAATATATATTCTTATGACTTATTTGTTTATTGTTTGGTTCCTACTGCAGGATGTATGCATCTTGAGTGGAGGGATATTTGTGTTTTCCTTTGTTTTATGTGTATTGCTCAATAAATGGGATAAGTATATTTGTTGAATGAAGAAACGATGGACCGTGATTGGATCCAGACTTCTAGAGAAGGCACAAACAGAAAGAGAAAATGTAAAGATCTCATTTTTCATTTGGATTTTTTAACTAATTTCTTCTATCCTTGGATCTGAGATTTGGACCCAGTGTCATGGTAGCTTTTGTCCTGTTTCCCTTTTCATATGTTTCCACTGTGGAAGTATTGGCATACACAGCACCACACCACTATTTTTAAAGCTTTCACCCTGAACTCAAAGCCTCTACACTTGTATTCCTGACTGTCCCCTACTTCATTCCAGTGGTGCTGAGTTAGAAGTTTAGAAACTCTGGAGAAGCTCAACTATCCAAAAAACTTTATACTTGTTTGGGTGCCCCTGGTTTGATTGGCTCCAGAGTTTTCATTGTCTTGAAACTAAAGGAGGCCAAGAGAATTTATATACTTTGGGATCAGGAAGGAGCTGTGCTTGGATACAGAGGGATTGATGTAATCTACTGATGTAGCATTGAAAGTCCACTTCTCTGAAACTTCAAGAACTTGAAAATAAGTATTTAACAGCCTCACTAGTCTTCCTTGGGGGCAGGGTTAGGAGGCCAGAATGGTTAGGAGGCCAGTGGCTACAGAAAAATGAGTGGGAAGGAAAAGAAACAGAGGCTGAAAAGTAGCTAGGTCAGTGATAAATACTGTAGAACTTTGTAGGCCATTGTAAATGCAGACTTTGGCTCAATATCTGAATAAAAAGCAAACCAGTGGAAGTTTTTGAGTAAATCATGTGACGTTCTTAATAGATATACCTGTATCCTTGACAAATATACTCATTTTGGCAGTTTTTTAAATGTACATACATGGCATTGTGCTATACACTTCATCCTGCTTCTACTTTTCCCACTTAACATTGTTTCTGAGATCTACCCATGTTTCCTTCTGTAAACCAACTTTATTGTTTCTGAGTTCTGTGCAGTATTTCATTGTGCATATATGACACATTTTACTTAAATATCCCTCTAGTGACAGACTCTGGCATAACTTCCAACTTCCTGCTACCACAAGTAGTCCTGTGGTGAGCATGCTCATAAGGGCCTCATTATAGACTCAAGATAGAGTTTCCTTGGAGTGGGAGGGTGTGTGCATTCTTAATTCCATTAAGACTGTACTTCAGAATGATGGCCCCAGTTACACCCACACCAGGAGTATGTGATAGTTTATATCTTCTCATCCAATTCTCACATTGATTCACTAAGAGAAGTCAAGTAAGGTCCTTGATGGGGAAATTGATGTTTAGAGAGATTAAGCAAATTACGCTAGTTTATGTAGTCAAGCAGAAGAGCCAGGCTCAAATCCAAATTTTCCAACATAATATTCATTGCTCTTACCATTGTAGTACCCCACACTGCCTCTTCCAGAAATAAGATGAGGCATCTGCAGGGAAAGATACTGTTGTTGTTGTTGTTGTTGTATTTGAGCCTTGCATTTTCTTTTTTTTTTTTAATTTTTTAATATTCATTTATTTTTTTTCCCCAAGAATTTTTTTTTACAAATAATTTATTGTCAAATTAGTTTCCACATAACACTCACTGCTCATCCCCAAAGTGCCCTCCTCCATGCCCATCCCCCCTCCCCCCCACATCCATCAGTCCTCAGTTTTTGTCAGCATTCAAGAGTCTCTCATGGTTTGCCTCTCTCCCTTTCCCCCACCATTTCCGCCCTTCTTCTCCCCCTTGTTCCTCCGTCAAGTTCCTCCTAATCCTCCTATACGTGCAAACATATGATATTTGTCCTTCTCTGCCTGACTTATTTCGCTCAGCATAACACCCTCAAGGTCCATCCATGTTGCTACACATGGCCAGATTTCATTGTTTCTCATTGCCATGTAGTATTCCATGGTATAGATAAACCACATCTTCTTGATCCATTCATCTGTTGATGGACACTTAGGCTCTTTCCATGTTTTAGCTATTGTGGAGAGTGCTGCTATGAACATTGGGGTACATGTGCTCCTATGCCTCAGCATTTCTGTATCCCTTGGGTAAATTCCTAGCAGTGCTATTGCTGGGTCATAGGGGAGTTCTATTGTTAGTTTCCTGAGGAACCTCCACACTGTTTTCCAGAGGGGCTGTACCAGTTTACATTCCCACCAACAGTGTAGGAGGGTGCCCGTTTCTCCACATCCTCGCCAGCATCTAGAGTTCTCTGATTTGCTCATTTTAGCCACTCTGACTGGCGTGAGGTGGTATCTCAGTGTGGTTTTGATTTGTATTTCCCTGATGAGGAGGGATGCTGAGCATCGTTTCATGTGTCTGTTGGCCATCTGGATATCCTCTTTGGAGAACTGTCTGTTCATGTCTTCTGCCCATTTCTTCACTGGGTTGTTTGTTTTTCGGGCGTGTAGTTTGGTGAGTTCCTTATAGATTCTGGATATTAACCCTTTATCTGATATGTCATTTGCAACTATCTTTTCCCATTCCGTTGGTTGCCTATTAATTTTCTGGGTTGTTTCGTTGTGAGCCTTGCATTTTCAATGTCTGATCTAACTCAGTAAGCCTGTGCCCCCGCCTCCAAGTGTCTAGCACCAGAGAATACGGCTAGAGGAATAATCACAGGTCAGATGATGAAGGAAGGAAGGACTAGGAAGAAAGGGTAGTGGGGTATCACTGAAGGGATTCAAGCCTGGGGTTGAGGCGGGGGGAACATGTCAATCACATTCATAGAGTAGAAAATATTCCATGAATTAAGAAGTAGTTCTTAATCCATTGCATGCCGGTTGGTAAATCATTGGATTTTGGAACTGGTGGGTGGCAAATAAGGAATATAGATGGATTTGTAGACAGAAGGTCTGACCTATACACCAAGGGTTCTTTTTGATCATCTCCAGAGAAGACTTTTTGATTTTTACTTGATATGTCTATCTTTAGAAGCCTCTGACAACATTTCCTAAAATTCTCTCAAAACCAAAGTCCAAATATGGAGGAGTGTGCAGGGCGCGTGACTTTTTTTCCCCTCTGATCTCCAAAATGAGTTAAAAATAACTCTTTGTGAAAGATTAGTATGGAATTACAAGTAAGTATTTTAATACAAGCTCACAGAGCTTATAAAATTAGTATGGAATTACAAGTGAGTTTTTAAATACAAGTTCACAGGGCAGATGGCTGCTTTCCAGATCTCCAGGCTGCTGACAGCTGACATGACAGATGGTTCAGGGTGTTTATTGAGCACAGGGTGGCCAGTGAGGAGACTGTCTGCAGACATGAGCTCACCTTTTCTCCTGGAAATCAGAAAGGAGGAGACAGAAGGAATTGTTTGGGTTGTGAGCTACTTCTTTTCTCTCTACACATCATATTTCCATATCTGTAGACATGAAACTATAGTAAACTTTTGCCTGGTTGCTACAGGTAAAGTTTATTTAAGGTAAGAATGCACACACACAAAAAATGCTGTTCTGGCTTTTCTCCCTTCTCAGTAATGGACGTTTGGTTGGATGTTGCATCTGTTTCTCCAGTGTTTTCTTATCAGCCTATTCCTCTTCTTGCAGGTAGTTATGAAAGCCTTGCCTCTTTCTCCCTCTTCCTCTCTTTGCACAGTGCCTTGTGGGCCTTGGTGAGTAAAGGAAAGGGTTGCATTGTACTTTCTTTGCCGTCAGTACAACTAAGTGGTTGATGCAGAATGAGGAGAAAAGCGGCCAAAGTGACATGTGACCTTGCTAGCTGATTTGAGGGCAAAGGGTTTTAACACCAGGAGACCAAATTTGTATTTTACATTCAGATGATTTTTAAAAATTGTTATGTACTTGCAACAAAGCTCACTAGTCTATAATTAATGCGTCATAACTCAAGCTCAAGCACCATGCAAACATCCCACGTGTGAATTATTGCACATATATTTATGCCCTCTGTGTCTTATGGCTTAGTTAGTACATGAAGCTTCATGAGTTAGGGGACCCAGATGGGAATATATCATGTGGTGTGTAAAAAGGGAGAATGTTAGGAGGTAGTCGACCCTTAATTCTAGGAGGAGAAAGCAGAGTTGATTTTTCTATGAAGTCTTTGGATTCAGTTTCTGTGATATTTGTGCGCAACAAGGGACTTCTGAGCTTTGGTTGAATGATTGAACCCCTTTGTTCAGTAAATATTTATTTATTTATTTTTTTTTAGGCTTTATGGAGGGATAGCATATACCAGAAAATATATGAGGCGGTAGCTGTGATGCCTGAGCAATGGAACCTGGAAGCCCCACCCCAACTCAGTTTAACTCAGTCTCACCAAACCTGATCCCAGACTCATGGCTCCTGCACTTGCTATAGCTCTCTGATCCTGGAATCTCTTCACAGCTAGAATGCTGTGTCTGGCACTTCGCAGATTTGGTCAAAAGCTGGTACGCAGACGTATACTGGAGGAATATGTGGCTGATATGGGCCCTGACAGAAGAATAACTACTCTGGATTTAGTGGCCCTGGGTGTGGGCTGCACAGTAGGTGTAGGTGTATATATCCTGGCTGGTGAGGTGGCTAGAGATAAAGCAGGACCATCCACTGTGATCTGCCTATTGGTGGCCAGCCTATCTTCTGTGTTGTCTGGGCTGTGCTATGCAGAGTTTGGTGTCCAGGTTTCCTTTTCTGGTTCTTCATATCTCTACAGCTATGTCACTGTAGGTGAACTCTGGGCTTTCATCACTGGCTGGAACCTCATCATCTTCTTTGTTGCTCATACAGCCACTGTGGCCCGGGCTTGGACCTTAGCATTTGACAATCTTCTTGGGAACCAGATATCTCAGAGCATCTCACCAAATATTTCCCAGGCCCTTGGAGAAATTCTAGGATTCACTGTTGTGGGCCTTGTGTTGTTGCTCATGGAATGGTTGATTCTGAGGAATAGTTTGATTTTCCTGGTTTCCAAAACGGTCGCATTGGTGAAACTTTTGGTTCTCAGTTTTGTGATCATTGCTGGCTTCATGAAGGGGGACCTGCACAACTGGAAGCTCACAGAAGAGGACTACATAATGGCTGGACTCAATGACACATCTACATTGGGCCATCTGGGCTCTGGAGGATTTGTGCCTTTTGGCTTCAAGGGGATTCTCCGTGGAGCAGCTACCTGTTTCTATGCATTTATAGGTTTTACTATTATTGTTACCAGAGTCGAAGAAGCCCGAAATCCTGAGTATTCTGTCCCTGTGGGCATTGTTGTTTCACTGCTCATCTGCTTTTTGATGTATTTTGGTGTCTCTTCAGCACTTACACTTATGGTGCCTTACTACAAGCTTCAACCTGGGAGCACCTTGTCTGAGGCATTTCTCCATACTGGCTGGGCACCTGCCTACTATGTTGTAAGTTTTGGATTTCTCTGTAGTCTTTCTATCAGCATCTTTGGCTTTATGTTCCCCATACGTAATCTGATATACATGATGACACAAGATGGGCTCCTGTTCCCTGTCCTTGCCAGCATCCAAACTGGCACAAACACCCCCATTGTGGCCACTGTCATCCTGAGCATTATTGCAGCCATCATGGCCTCCTTCTTCAGACTCACTGATCTCTTGGACCTCATGTCAGTTGGGGCCCTGCTAGCTTACTCCCTGCTGGCTACTTGTGTTCTCATCATCAGGTATCAGCCTCAGAGGAGGAGTGGGAGAAATGAAGCAGTGCTGCAGGAGGGAAGTGGACCTGCAGCAGAGAAGTTGACTCTACAGGGACTATTTTTTCCAGGAAGCCCCACCCCCACTCCCCTCTCTGGCCGGGTTGTCTATGTTTGCTCCTCACTGCTTGTTCTGCTGCTCACCCTTCTGTGCCTGGTGCTGGTGCAGTGGCCAGTTCTGCTTTCAGGAGACCCAGTGTGGATTTCCATGGTTGTGCTGCTCCTGGTGCTCATCACTGGGCTCACTGGGGTCATCTGGAGACAGCCACAGAGGTCCAGTCCCCTTCCCTTTAAGGTCCCTGCCCTGCCTCTCCTCCCACTACTGAGCATCTTTGTGAATGTTTGCCTTATGATGCAGGTAACATCTGGCACCTGGACCCTGTTTGGTGTCTGGATGCTGATTGGGTTTGCTGTCTACTTCAGCTATGGGATCCAGCAGAGCCTGGCTAATTAGCCATACTTCAATTAGGGTCAAAATTATAGACCTTGAACTCAGAAGTACCAGTAAATATTTGGCTTGATATCATCACAACTGAGTGCAGTCAGGTCCCCTACATGGGAGAGTACTCTTCAGCACATGGGAAGCTGGGCCTCCAATGGAATATTGGTAGGGGAATTCTAGTAGAGCTCTATGTGTATTGTGAAATGAAGAATGTGTTTTTTCTCTTTCTCTTTTTTTTCCCTTCTTTCTATATGTCTACTTTTCAGTTGTGTATGCACTGCATATTGACTTTAAAAAAGTTACTATTAAAAGAAACTAGAAAACGGTGTTTTTGTTTTCTTTGGGCTAATATCCAATAGCAGAAATACTGGATCATATGGTAGTTCTACATATAATTTTCTGAGTAACTTTCATACTGGTTTCCATAATGACAGCAACAAATTACATTCCCACCAACAGTACATGAGGGTTCCTTTTTCTCCACATCCTCACTAACATTTGTCATTTCTTGTTTATTTTTATTTTAGCAATTCTGACGGGTATAAAGTGATATCTTATTCTGGTTCTAATTTATACTTCCTGACTATTAGTGGTGCTGAGCATTTTTATGGTCTAATAGCCATCTAGTATGTCTTCTTTGGGAAATATTTATTTCAGTTCTCTGTCCACTTTTTAATGGATTATTTGACCATTTGGTTTTGCATTGTATAAGTTCTTTATATATTTTAGATATTAACCCCTTATTAGATATGTCATGTGTCCTGTGGCTAATTTGGTTCTGGATTAAAAAAAAAAAAGAAACCCGAAAAAGAAAGTGAAAGGGACTGAGCTGGGCATGCTCAATGCTGTCTCTTTAACGCACTAATCAATGTCACAGTGCAGGGGGTGGAGAAAGGCCAGGAATAGTCCTTTGCTTAGTGGTGCTCAAACTTTAATGTGTGTCACCTCACCTAGAGGGCTTGTGAAAACAGACTACTGGCCCAGCCTCCAGCTTTTGGAATTCAATATGTCTAGGTGCGGCCCAGAACTTATAGTTCTAAGAAGTTCACAGGTGTTGTTGATACTGCTGGTCCAGGGACCACACACAGAAAACCAAAGCTCCAACTGAAGCTCCTCTACATTTAAAGATGAAGTGAGAGAAACCAAGGCACTCTTTGAACACTTACCTTCATTTAATGAAATAATCAGATTAAAATGTCATCGCTAACCCTTTCACAGTGGAGAAATCATAGTGAATAATTTCACAATGTATGTGTTTATCAAATCACCACCACAATGTACACGTTGAATACCTTACGATTTTATATATCAGTTATAAATCAATAAAGCTGAAAATTTTTTCTTTAATATTTTTTATTTATTTCTAGGAGAGAGAGAGACAGCGTGAGCAGGGGAGGGTCAGAGAGAGAGGGAGACACAGACTCTGAAACAGGCTCCAGGCTCCGAGCTGGCAGTCAGCACAGAGCTGACGCGGGGCTCGAACCCACGAACAGCGAGATCATGACCCAAGCGAAAGTCAGACGCTTAACCGACTAAGCCACCCAGGCGCCCCAATAAAGCTGAAATTTTTAAAAAATGAAATACCACAGGTATCTGTGTGTCTTTATTTTCTGTATATTGTTCCTGATTTTAGGTCATAGGTAAGGAGAGTTTCTTGTTCACTTCCCCAGAGCATCCAGCTGGGACCAGACACATAAGCAGCATTTAATAAATTCATGTTAAATTGAATTGAGCCTTACACATTTCCTTGGTACAGAAAATTCTCCTTCCTTTCAGGCTAGCACTGTGCTACTCCTTTAACTATCTTCAGAGAGATTTCTTTAACAAAGCATTTCTCTTCATCCAGAACTATATCTAGAATGGTATCGAAATCTGTACCCAGCACCTAGAACTGTACCCAGGCATGTCTAGTTTTGCCTTTGTGTGGCTATGCCTGAGTTCTAGTGACTGTCTTGTCTGTTCAATCAGAGTGAGATCTTGCTCGGGACAAGGAGTAGGTTCTCCCCTTCCTGTAGACCCAAGAATGAAGAAAAGTTAATTCAAAGAGAAACTGTTGAATTCAACAGTTAATTCAAAGAGAAACAGAGAAAATACAGCCCTGGGGAAGGAGAATGCTTGACGTGACTCTGCCTGCTCCTGCTCCACTCAGTCCCATGGGTTGAGTAAAATTGATTGAAGGCTCAGCCAGTTCTATATGACTCCAAGGATTCCCTGAAGATGAGACTGGTTCCACCATGGACACAAAAGGCATTTTTCTTGAGGCAGTTTTACAGTTATCATAGAAAGGCCAGTGGTTTTCTATTGTATGTATGTATGCCCGCCCTGGAAAGGAAGTTGCTTTCTTAGTTGTAGAATTTCTCATCTTCCCAACAGGGAGTAGATGACTCCAGGGAAGCCTGCTAGAGGCAGGATTACCGTACACTTCTCAACTACTTTAGATGCTTCTTTGGGGGTCTGGTGCAGAAGTCTCATGAGACTATCTAAGATTCTTTGGGAGAGAGAATGTACACCCCAAAATGGCAAGAAAAAAAGACTGAAATATACTCAATTAATAATTACATAGGGGTTGAGGAGTCATTACTTTGGAAGAGAAGGTATAAGTAGAAACTGAAAAGGATGTAATGGTAAAGAGACACTTCCTAGAGGAGGATGTGTATGGAGCAATTTGGGAAATATAATAAAAATAAAGAGGGATAGGTAAGTTAGGAAAGACACAGGACGGTATTCTGAGCTACACAGACCTTTGAGACTCATGAAAGAATAAGACTCTTTTGAGGGATGTGTGTTTTCACTCTTGAAGGGAATTTATGAGCCACGTTTGTATTGTGCCATAGAGTGAGATTCTTGAATCAGGAAGGAATCAGACATGATTCTCACTGCCATCTGGAGGACAAACAGACAGAAGGATGTGGACAGATAAACTCTTTGTGGGAGACAGTTGTACCAACTGCTACAGTCATGTAGATCCTGATCTTCAAAATGTGGTCCATGGACCAGTAATGTGTGTGTCACCTGGGAGCTTGTTATAAATGCATAATCTCGGGCCCCACCCAGACCTATTGAATCAGAATCTGCAGTTTTAGTAGAGTCCATGGTGATGTCTATGCTCTTTCAGGTGTGAGAAATACTGGCCTTAGATAATGGGTGATAGGTGTCTGGCCTCATATGAGCACTATGAAAGGTCTGAAAACTTTGGAATTGGGAATGCAAGAGGAGGGACTTAGACTGAGAAAATTGAATTTGGGGGAGAGAGGGAAGTGTGGGTCCTGGCTGCTTTCCTGTCCCCAGGTCTTCCACACTAATCACTGTGCCAGGATTTGGCACTCTGCCCACTTTGGGAAAATGCCTGCTGTGTCCATGCTGGAGTCTGCCTGGCCCTGAGGGCTCTTCTGGGGCCAGGATTGGGTGGGTCAGGACAGCTGCCAATTCTGTTACCCCTACTTCATATGATGGCCTAAAAAGGACTGGGAAAGTCATAGTAGTCATGACCCTCCTCAGGTTTGTACTCTCCCTTCATCAAATGAGTGATAACTTGATGATACTAATTGAGGAGGCTATGGAGGTTGGGGGATTGAAATGGGAGTTCTTAACTATCTATCCTGGAAATTAGAGTACTTTCTTCTATTAAAACTTTAATGAAAGTATCAATGACTCCATAAGGGGTTATGGTCTGTTAGGGACCAAATTAATGCTTTTTAAGGGATCTTTTGATGATTTTTCACAGGTTAATAACAAACTATATGAGACCTATAATTTCAGAGACCTGGAGCAATAGGCAATGGAACAATGGTACCAGGTGGGCATTTCAGAATTCTTTTAAGCTTTTGGTGGTTTGTGTACCTCATCCCCAATTAGAATGGGTGACAAAGAGAGGCCAATATTTTAAGGAAAACATATTGAGATTGGACATAAGGAAGAATTTCTGAGTTTATAGAGGACCAGGGGAGATGGGAGGGAGTAGGCTTTCTGGCCATGGCATGGCTGTCTCACTTGGATTCGGGATGTATCAGATGATCTTCTTCCCAGAAATAAGGAAATGTACAAAATGAACTCTCAAAATCTTTTAATCCCAAGGATTCTTCAGTTAAATAATAAAAGTTTTTATTATTTACTTTGAGAGAGAGAGAGAGAGAGAGAGAGAGAGAGAGAGAGAGAGAGAGAATCTGAAGCAGCTCCAGGCTCCAAGCTGTCAGCACAGAGCCTGATGCAGGGCTTGAACTCACGAACATGAGATCATGACCTGAGCTGAAGTCAGATGCCAAACTGACTGAGCCACCCAGGTGCCCCTCTTCAGCCAACTTCTTAAATGAAATGCTGGGGTAACTGTAGTTTATGTAAGATGGTATAGCACGTGGATACTGAATTACAGATGAAAGAAATCCAATCTGATTAGAGCTGACAAGGGATTATGTGGGGGTAAAGCAGTCAGAGTCTACCCAAAGGTCGGTCAAGTGGTTCACAGTATGATTCCACAAGAAGGTTGGCAGACATGAGGTGGCAGAAACATTGGCAGACACAAAGAGAAAAACACACAGATTATATTGACCAACAAGATGCCATCTTTAAGATAATGTCCCCAGTTTCCAAACCAGTTAAGCAATCCAGGAGACACTCTGACTTTGTCAAATTGTGCCCAAACGTCCCTGATAACTTAGGGAATTATCAATATTTTGAAACAACAAGTGTGAAGGAATTTCTCACAACCCAGGTGATGGAAGATCAGTAGGTAATCAATCGAGCTCAATTGTCCAAGAGTCCTGCCCTAACTTCAATTAATTTTTTTATTTAAAGCATTTAATGCTTGTGAGGTGTCATTTAGAGTTCTGCTGACTCAGCAGACAGTTTACTTTATTTCGAAGTGTTAAACTTTTCCAAGGTCCAGGAATCATACCAGAGAAAGTACCAATGTAGTCCATTACCATTATTACTTTGCAAATTTTTATGTAAACCAAACCTGGGTATTATTTTATAAAACAGAGCTTTCATTACTTTTTGTGCCTTTATGTTTTGCA